TGTTTGCATTGAGATGTAAAGTATGTGTAATCTGTTGTGCTGTGAATGTCACTGTTGTTCAAAAGCTACATCTCAGGCAACCTTCACAAAGCAGCACTTTCTTAGCCCGAAAATATTTACTCACGTTGATCTGATCATCTAGCATATCTTCAAGCAAAAAAAAAAAAAAGCCAAAAACACCCCAGAAAACAAAACAACAACAACAAAGAAACAACCTCTTGTCGCTTTTATGAAATTAGTTGCAGATTTTTTTTTGAGAAGGGAAATATAGTTTGTAAATATTTTTCTTGGCAGCTTTCCCACTATTATTTTCTCTCTACACAGAAGATGCTTCTTTGCCTGGCTTACAAGAGAGCATCACATATTTTGACATATTTCAGTTGGAATGAAGCTTATGGCTAAGTAATGAAGGCTGCCAAGACAGCAATGCCTTGTGATGTTTTGTTTAGTTCCTAAAAAACAATGGAGTTATATTTTCATTAAAACATAAAAATTACTTTTGTTAGCACAATTAATCATTGATTTATTCTCTTTTCTCCCATAGTCTAAAGTTGACAAGTCATTTGAGGAAGCAGCAACTTGTGGTACCATGTTGAGTAGGGTGTTGCCTCCGCAGTCACTGGCCTGCTCAGGCAACAGACTGTCCTGAACTCCTTGAGAGCATTGCAGCTGCACAGCTACTGCTTCACGTGAAGATGCTGAGAGACCTAAAGGCCATTGCTCTGGAGCTGTCAACCACCATGGGTAGCAGGAACTCTAAACACGGCGGTCTCATTGTGCCAATAACATTGTGAGTAGTTAACCCATCGAAGCCCTCAGAAAAGCCCAGATCAATACATTCAGTCAACTCTTCATGGCTCTTGATGCAATTGACTTTTCTAATATGAAGTATCAGTAAAATGCAAAAATATTTTTACTAAGTTACATTTGTAAAGATTATTGTAATAAAGCATCTAAATGAACAAAATGTATTAAATCCATTTAAAAAGAAAGATAATTTTGTCAGTTGACTTTAGTTCTCTGAAAAAGAAGTCAATATTCTACCAGTTGAGTTGCTACCAACATGCTAGCATGAATCCAAGAAGCATTTTACAACGTTGTAGTGGCTATGGTAACAGCAATTTGTAATTAAAGCATGCAAATGGAAAACAATTTATAACATTTAAGACATTAGTTAAGTTCCCAGGAATTGCAGTACTATTTATACTTTCAATAAGACTTAATACATTTATGTTTCATGCTTTTAGTTTCTTTATGTTCCTATGCTAAGTAACTAGAATGAAAAAGAACTACTTTTTTTAAAAAAAAAACTCTTTTAATGAATAAGGATGATAAGTTACATAATTCCTCATGTGGGAGAGCATGGTTTAGAACCACACACACACACACACACACACACACACACAAGTGCACATAACACTGCCGGAATCTGAATGAATTTAGTGGTCATTACAACATCAGGCTTCCGGTTTTGCTGTTGTGTTGTGGTTTATAAGAGGTCATTATTGTGGAAAATGGGTAAGGGTAATTGAGCCCTTGTTATTTTTGCAGTTTTCTATGAGTCTATAATTAAGATAAAGCTTGGAAATATGAGTAGCTGCTATGGAAATCACCACACTGATATCCAAAGGGGTTGTACCAGCTTGCATTCCCACCAGCAATGCAGAAGTGTTCCCTTTACCCCACAACCTCTCCAGCATAAGTTGTCATCAGTGTTTTTGATTTTGGCCATTCTTACAGGTGTAGGATAGAATCTCAGGGTTGTTGTGATTTGCATTTCTCTGATGACTAAGAATGTTGAACATTTCCTTAAGTGTCTTTCAGCCATTTTAAATTCCTCTGTTGAGAGTTCTCTGTTTAGTTCTATACTCAATTTTTTTATTGGATTATGTGTTCTTTTGGTGTCCAATTTCTTGAGTTCTTTGTATATTTTGGAGATCAGACCTCTGTCTGATGTGAAGTTAGTGAAGATCTTTTCTCTTTCTGTAGACTGTTGTTTTGTCTTGTTGACCATGTCCTTTGCTTTACAGAAGCTTTTCAGTTTTAGGAAGTCCCATTTATTAATTGTTTCTCTCAGTGTCTGTGCTACTGGGGTTATATTTAGGAAGTGTTCTCCTGTGCCAATGCGTTCAAGTGTACTTCCCACTTTCTCTTCTATAAGGTTCAGTGTGGCTGGCTTTATGTTGAGGTCTTTGATCCATTTGTGCATTAAGTTTTGTGCATGGTGATACATATATGTCTATTTTCATTCTTCTACATGCCAGCACCACTTGTTAAATATGCTTTCTTTTTTCCATTTGATATTTTTAACATCAGATTTTCTAAGGCCATTATAAATCTACTTTTCTTTTCTTTTTAAGATATTCTTCAAGCTGGAGAGATTGCTCAATGGTTAAGAGCACTGGCTGCTCTTCCAGGGGTCCTGAGTTCAGTTTCCAGCAACCACACGGTGGCTCGCAACCATCTATAATGGGATCTGATGCCCTCTTCTGCCATAAAGGTACTCATGTAGATAGAGCACTCATATCCATAAAATAATCCTTTAAAAAAAAAACAGAAGAAATTATTGAGCCGGCCTGAATATCTGCTTTGTGAGGACTAGCTTTCCAGAAGGCCATCATATAAGCTCCAACACCACTGAAGAAAATCACAGCCAATCCAAATGCAGAGTTATGGCAGTTGGTCCCAGTGGATACAGCTATAAAAAAATTCCTACAACCAAGGCTCAGGGAATATTGTGGAAGAACGGTCAGAAAGAGTGTAAGAGCCAGAGGATCAAGGGGTTTAATAAAAGACCGTGTCCCCTAGAAATGTCAGAAGTGACACTCTGAAAGTCTCACCAACATGTTTGCTCAAACTTGAGCTGAACAAGAATGACACCAATGGACAAGACCATGTGAATGGGGTTAGCTCACAAAGCTTCAACCCTACCAGCACGAACCAAGGAATACTAGGAGTGTGGGAGCTCTTCTCTAGGGAAGAACACCCCATGGGTGGCTCAGTGCCAAATGGTCAGCTCTGAAAACATATACACAAGCAACACTGCACAGACTGAGGAGATTATATTTAGGAATATATTAGTGTACATGTGTGTGAGTGTGTGTGTGTGTGTGCACGTGTGTGTGTCTACATATGCCTGCAATAACAATTAGTGGAAAAAGAGGCCATGAATTGAAGGAGGGTGGGGCAAGGTATGTGGGAGGGTTAAGAGGGAGGAAAGGGAAGGATGAAATATTGTAATCATATTATAATCTTTTAAAAAGAAATTATTCAATATTAAATTGTTAAAAAAATGATATTGATGGGAACAACTTTAAAGAAAATAAAATGTGGGATGTTTAGTCTGCGTGTATCTCCAAGTGTTCTGTGCATACCTGGTGCCCTTTGAGTGCAGAAGGTACTGGATCTCCTGGAATTGGGATTATGAATGAGGTGAACCACTATGTGAGTGCTAGGACTCAAACCCATGTCCATTGGGAAGCAGCCAGTGCTCCTAACTGCTAAGTAATCATTCCAGCGCATAAGTCTCCCTTCAAAGCAGAGAAATGTTTTATAGCATATAAGTTTTCCTTTCCATGTACAAAATATGAAAGAAATCATTTTTCTAGGGTCTTAGAAAACAGAAAATTCCTTGTTTCTATTTCTAACTGAATGTAAGCTCCCTGCTACAAAGGTTTCTCTCTCCCAGTCCTGAGAGCCACGATGTGAGATGGCAGGATGCTCAGGCAAACCAAATGATTTCTAGCGTGTGCCTCGGTGCTTGTTACCAATCAGTAAGACGGGTGTTAGTTGGCCCTCGTGATAGATATGAGGATTGGATATTGACGTGAACAGTGGGGAGCTCATGTGCGTCTTCACTGGCTCTGGTTCTCACTAGAGCACAAGAGAATTTATAAGGTTCACTCCTTTGTTAACTTAAAATGAGGAAAAAGCAACAGAAAGGCAAGGAAAGGTATGAAAATAAAATGTGTGGATTATCTTCACACTGTTTTATCCTGTGGTAGGTAGAGTGGACTCTAAAAATTAAGTAATTGAATCAGTTTATTATTATCCATTTTGTTCTTTGATTAGAGACTATACATCCTTTTGTATAACTCAAATATTCATGAAAAATGGCCATGTAGTCTTTCAGAAGGAAACCTTCAAGTCTGGGAAGTAGAGATTTATAGGCCATATTCTCTGACCTAAATTCTTAAAATGTAATTACTTGAAAATTATGAAACATAGTTAAGATAAGCCTTGGGGCAAGAAGGAAATCAAAGGAATGATTGAAAAGAACTGTTCCTTCAAAAATCAGTAGAATATGTGAAAGATATGTTTAGAGTATTCTCATTGTTGAAGAAAAACTAAGAATAAGGTAACTTTTTATTTAAGAAAAAAGAGAGACAAACATTTAAGATAAAAATAACATAGAAAGACCTGATACATTTACATAGGGCCCCTTGGAAACATAGTTAAAACTCTTGCTGTAGAGGAGTTGCTAGAGAAACAAAAGTTAGTAAAACTACCCAAGAAAATTCAAACACCTATGGCCATGTGATGATTGCAAAAGTTGGAAACTGACTTTTAATGAAATATAAAGAAAACAAAGGAGAAGTTAAAGCAATTCTGAATAGTTCAGGTGTTATTGTTCCAGACACTACTGCAAAATCCAAGACAGCTCAGCTTGTATTCACAAAACTGTGGTACTGTTCTGTCAAATACTAAAACAGCCATGGACCAACATAGATGTACGGACACACTTGCGAAATGCTAACGTCAAACCTTACCCAAAAAAAGTGGAGCAAGGTAGGCTTTTGCTGCTGCTCTGAGGTGGGGCAAGGTGGAATTCTGCTGCTCTGAGGTGGACCTCGCCAGCCAAGAGGTTCAGATAGAACAGAGAAAGCATCTCACTCTACCTCAGGTTACATTTTTAGTCATTAGTGAATAAGATTTTCTTTCTGGTAGTGCATTGTGCTTTTCAATGTTAACACATTCTTACGAATTAAGACCATGAGGTAAGGAGGGTGGTATTTGGCTAGAAGTGGGTATATGAAGTATTTACAGTCAGGTTAAGGGCTGAGAAAAGTGTGAGAGTAGGGATCTTCCAATTAGCTCTCTTCCACAGTTTCTCTGAACAAGCTTCCATTTTCCACAGCCTCAAGTTCACTGAAGACAACAACCAAGCTACTATTAAGAGGAAAAATTTTAACTCATCCACACCAACAACTAAACTGACTTGATATTCACTTTGTTCCTTGTATGCTGAGGAGCAATGATTTTCTAGGTATGCAAAAACTAAATAAAAGAAACAAAGACAAATCAAAAACTTCACAGTTTTGCCTGATGTTACTTATGGGTCTCCAGCTGGGCAAACTTCAATTTGTTCAGAAGTCTTTCCAAATTAATGGCTTGTGTGTGTGTGCATGTGCGTGCATGCGTTCGTGTGTGTGTGTGTGTGTGTGTGTGTGTGCATGTGTTTGACACTATATAAAGTATTTCTTTTAAATCACATCACAACTGCCTTCAAGGGGAGCTTTGTTCTCAGAACATCCATTAATTCAAGCATCACTATAGGACAAACTCATTTTGTACTGTAGAAGTTCCTAAGTGATTCATCTGTCAGGCTCCCTCTCCTCCCTTCCAAACACATTCTTCTTCCTCCCACCACCACAGTTATTTCAGAAGGTTCTGTAGCAGGTTCTCAGAGGCCCCATTGTGTAGTAACAAAAGAACTCCAGCAGGGGAGAATCAGGTTCTGTCCTTGCTTGCTGTCCTCAGTGGAAGGATATCCTTTTCCCAGGCCTGAAACTTGCTCACAATTTGAACCCAAGTTCCAGCTCATCATGGAAGTCAGACCTATTGGGTGGATATGCGGGCAGGTGCTGAAGAACTTCTCTGGAAGACGTATGACTTCCTTACTGTAAACTGGGATATGGGCGTGGGAACAACTGGGGACAAATCTCACAGGTTTCCCCGTTTTCCCAGTTACCCAGGAGGTGGGCCATTGTTCCAAAGTCCTGTGAATGTCAGGGGCTATTTCTCCTAACTTCTCCTTTCCTTAGTTGAGGGGATCCAGAAGGCAGTCATGGACCTTATAGATGAGTTTAAAGATGATCTCCCTACCATCCTAAGAATATCACAGTCTAATCAGGTAATGTGATTTATAATCTTCAAAGGAAGACAAAATATGGGATTTTTTGTATCATACAAATCATTAATACTGATATCAGTAAGTAAAGCTTAAGAAAACGTTTTTGCTTAGGAAAAGAAATTTCTACTTACTGGGAGGAGTCCTTGGATAGCAGGGAGATAAAGCAGGAAGTGAATGAGGCAGATCAATTAAGATTAAAGATAATCATTGTGTCATTAGATTAAAAATCTGGAAGTTTTTCATAGCAGAAACTGACAATGTAGTTCACTTAAGATTTGTTTAATGTAAAATTTAAAAAGTAGCTAGAAACAGGTAAAATCTAAGCCAATTAAGTGAATATAAACATTTAACTGAGATAAACTAATCCTGGAGAGACGCAGTGTGAATATGTGTGTGTTAATATGGAAAGTTTACCACCTTAAACAGAATACACACCCACTGTGTTTACCACCAAGTGTCCGTTTCATAAAAGATTTGAAGGAGATAAAATATTGGAATTGGAGACAGAGGGAAAGAAGGAATTCTGAAGATGTTTATAGTAAAGAAAGATGTGATCTTATCTAATCTAATTAGACCAAGTATCAACTTTGAAGTACGATACAGTGTGAAGTTACAGGACACTGGAAAAGACGTGTGGCGATGTCACATATCAAGTTTCTAGCCCAAACCAGAAACTGAACCCAAAAGCACTCTGAGCAACATGGCAATCATAAGTTTACATGTTTCATTAGGAAAGATGTTGGGGCTGTTTTAGCCATGTCAAACACTTTTCATCACCTCCCTATTGCTTGGGAGTGGGGAGACAAACAGGATGTGATCCCTGTCCGTGAGTTTAATCTAATGACGACTGGTTGTAATGGCAAGGTTAGTAAGTATTATTAATTTAACCCAGACATGAAGATCTTTGGATGTCATGGAACAAAAGAGGTTGATCTTTTGTCTTAATTATAACACAAACATATGACAGAGAAGATTTTGAGGATGGAAATGACATCCAATTTTCACTTTGAATGTAGTTCTTTGGGCTAGGGAGATGGGTAAGATCGCTTGCTGTGCAAGCAAGAGTTTGTGTCCCCAAAACTCACATAAAAACCAGGCCTTTGCACGTGTCCATCACCCTAGCATTGCGAGTCTTGGGGTGTCGCTGGTTGATCAGCCTAGCTGAAAGGGTGGCAGCCAGTGAAAGACCTGTCTTGAAATATCAGGCGGAGAATGATACAAGAGGACATAGGAAGCCCTCCTCTGGCCTCCCCATGGGCCCATGCACATGAACACAGACATGTGCATGACACACACATACACACACACACACCACACACACACACACACACACACACACACGAAAAACAAATAGTACTTCTCCAGTG